TGTGGATGATTCGGCCTGCATTGGGGAACAAAGGAAACCATTACAAATCCAGCGCATTTTAATTAAACCAGTGTATATATAAACAAATTTGTTGTTATCAACGTGTCAGCGTTAACAATATTTTAGCTATAAACAATTTTCTACTGTGAACATGTGTTGGATTTCATTTTTTCTTTTATTTTTTTCAGTTCGCTAAGTTCGCATAACCATTACTTACCCAGTATCGAGTTGACGCGCGGATCGATGCCGAGGAGGTTGAGCGGACTGACGGCGAGGGCGAGGACGCGGTAGGCGCACTTAAAGGCCTGTTGCACCTGGAAGACGCCGTAGCTGCTTCGACCGATATCATTGCCCGGCGTCAGCGGATCCTCGATGCACAGGAGCGAGGGCCGATGTCCATCGACCATGTCACGCTGCAGCTCATCCTTGGGCATGTAGCGGCCACCATTCTTTATGGAAATGCCGATCTTCATGTAGTTGAAACGACGCCCGTAAAGCTCGAAGAACTCGAGAAGGAGGACTCCCAGATTGGCTGTATCGTGGTAGATACCGCGCGGATGCATCTGCAGAAAGCTGATGCACATAAGGATCAGCGAGTAGGAGGAGATGCCGCCCGTGAACACCTCGTTGAGATCGCGGAGCAGTAGGAACTGCTTCAGCACCAGCACTAGCTTTCCCAGCACTGGATAGTCGCGCTTAAACTTTTTAATTAGCTCCGCCGACTGAACACCACTCTGCATGTTGAACGATATGTCTACCTTCACCTGCGTTTCCCGGTCCGTCAGCTTGATGATGGGCACTGATGCCTTGTCCAGAACTCGCACCGTGCAAGCCTCGGCGATACCACGGCTCACTAGCTCGAATTCCAGCGTTCTCAGCGGCAGCTTTTCCCACAAACCTGATTATAAAAAGTCAATGCTTGTGGGGAAAACTTAATAAGCTATTGCTTTCACTCACCTAGCACAACGAGATCAATGTCGGAGGTGGGCAAAAAGAGGCCGGTTCGAAAGGATCCAAAGATCTCGACAACCGCCTGTGGCCAGATGGAATGGACAACGGCCTCGATGCGCTTGACCACCTCGTTGCGGATGGCGTGTTCGCAGGCCGTGGGCAGGACGTACTGATAGAAATGCTCGATCTCCTCGTGCAGCCCGATAACGCCATCGCCGTACGGATAGTCCGGCTTGCGCCACGGTTCACCCTTGTACTTGGCGATCATCTCCATGTGGTTGTTCATATAGTAGTGGGCACCGCCAGCCTTGTTCTCCGGCCGTTTCTTCCGCGACGGATTGTAGTAGATGCTGTTCGTGCGGCTGGCGGGCGTGGTTGTTGTCTGTGGCGGGTTGTTACTGGTGTCACTCATGCTAGTGGCTGGACCAGTTGTGGTAGCAGATGTGCTTGATGCTGTGGTCGCCGGACTATTGGTACCGGTTCCTGCTGCTCCTGTTGCGGTTCCCGTTCCTGTACCCGGTCCGTTGGTTGAATTGCTGTTGGCGGGTGAGTTATTGTCCCGATTCGTAGTGGAATCTGCCGACGAGCTTGAGCTGCTGACGTTGGTGGCGATGTTGGTGCTGTGGCGCTGAGTGGTTCCGTTGTGCTGCTGCTGTTGTTGTTGTTGCTGCTGCAGGATCTCCAGGGAATCGGCTCGGAAATTAAGCACCCGATTAAGCGAGCTGTAGGGTCGCGGTAAGTAGGGTTTGCCCGATGTATTGTTACCAATATTATTGGCCGAATTGCTGCTAGTGTTGTTGTTGTTACCACAATTGCTACTGCTGCTCGTGCTGCCGTTGGTCGTCGTCACCTGCTGTAGCTGTTGATTAAGCAATGCACCCATCTCCTGGGCATTCGTCTCCCAAATCTTTAACCATGTGCACAACGATGGTCCCTCCTGTTCCTTCTGAAACCAGCCAACAAATGGATCCATTCAAGACGGTTTCACACGGCTGTTGGCTGGGCGGGAAACGAGGGGGGCTGGGGCGCGACTCTCCTTCGCTTTGCCTTTTCTTCTATATCCTCTGCGTCCTGTATTAAATATATAGACTTGTCTATATATATATGGATTTTATGTGACCTGTTTGCTCCACAGGGAAAAATTAGTTATTGTCTCCTTATTCCTCTTGAAGTTTGTCAGAATACAAGTGCTATAAAGACAGCAACGAAAAATGTTGATTAGTTTTAATTAGTTTTCGGAGTAAGATTCATCCTACTACCAATGCTTAAGATACATTTAACGGCTTAAACCCTAGAGCTCTTAATTATGATTATATTACCCACAATTCGATGGTATTTCAATTATTATTTCATATTTGCTAATAATTAATATGAAACTATGTAGAACTTGTACATTAAATATTATTGTTAAACTGTCACGCAATAAATATGCCAGTACAATATGCAAATATATTTAAAATAATTGTTATTACAGAGTGAACTATTGGTTTGTAGCAGGAAACTTCTGGAAGAAAAAACAGCCTGCATTCGTTTAACGTATAACTCATTGCCTAATAATCTACATTTATATTTGAAGGCTTTAACCAGTTTCGGACTTATTGTTTATGGTAACCACATGAGAACTTCAAGTAATTGGATAAATCAACTGAAAGCTGATATCAGAGTATCGTTATCGATATATATGTTAAACTTGTGGAGATAAATAAACAAAGGAAGGAAGGAAATGAAAAAACAGTAGTTGTTGGTGTTGCTGTTTTTGTTGTTACTCTCCATAAGGCGTTTGCATGCATTTTACACAAAATGGAAAGCGTAAATGGCAAACTATTGCAAATTATGCGCTCTTTTTCTACAAATAGAAATGCCCCGCTCACTCTCTCTCTCTCTTTCTCTCTACCCCCACTCTCCCTCGCTCCTATTCACTCCTTTTTGCAAACCAATTGCAGCTGAAGCGTTTAAAGGCGCCAGTCAAAAATTGTTTTTCAGAGCGCAAAAATATCACACACACACACACGATAGAAAAAGCAAAAATGGGCCACAACAAAAAGGTTTTTCACATACGAAAAGCAAATCAAAATGCAATAAAAAAAAAAAAAAGGAAAACCGCTCACGAGACTCCGAGGCCCGCAAATAAATTACTTCCATAGTGATATTATATCTGGCACCAACACACTGATAGCTACTCTAGTTTTGTGCAGTGTGCGTGTGCCTCTCTGAGTGTGTGAGTGTGCAAGGGCGTACAGGTGGCCGTAGTATGGGGGTGGGAGTGGGAGCGGGATAGCACACATGCACATGTACCGAAAGGCGGCTTCGATTATGCAAAAAAAAAAATATATATATATATAATGAAGAAAAGAAGAAACCGAAAAGAGCGAAAGGCAAAGAAACCGCTAAATGCACACACATCTACACCTAATGCATATTTTACCCGATACGAATTTTCATTTGCTGGCTGAATTTTCGGTACAAAAAAAAAAACTTGGTTGCATTCGGCAGAGGAAAACTCCCGCACACACACACATGCACAAGCAGTCGCACATGTACAACTCGTACATTTTAGGCAAATTAACACTTTCTTAATGTTGGTCAGTGTTGGCTAACGGCCCAAGGAGGGCGCCAGAGAAAAAGAGCGGGGCGAAGTGATATTGAATAAAGACAGAAAGAGAGAGCGATTTATTATTTTAACCGGCAAAAAACGTACAGCGGCTCAAATTAGTCGGATTAATTAATTGCAATGGGTATCGATAGACGGGCAGCAGTGTTGCCACCCGGCTGCGAAGGGTTCTTTCTCTTTACAGCACTGGCCGTGGCAAATGTAAACATTTAATTTATGCAACCGCTGCAGTAATTAAGCGAAAATCAATTAAGCAGACAACTCCAAACGCCCGCCCCACTCATTCTATCGCATGCACACACGTGCGTATCAAACTGCTCTTCACATGATTTCTCGCGTAATTCAGTTGGTATTTTTCACACATAAATCGATTCTTCTTTTTTTTTTAGCCGTTTTACCTTGACAAGTTTTGGTTCTCGTTGCGAATGCGTTGTATTTCAAGTTTATCACACATACATATACGCGCACATCACACCCATCGAAACGTGCACAAAATACACATGTTGGTTATAAAAAAGCTAACTTATAGTATGACAGTTGTATTATTTTGCAGCTCAAAACCCGCCCAAAAATTAATGGAAAATTACAGTTGTTGTCGGCGTCGCTGCTGCTTCTTCCGCTCTTTCTTACTGTCTCTCTCTCCCTCCTCGCTATATATCCTTATAAGCACTAACAATTTCTGCTTCTCGCTCACTTTCGTTGCGCTGCCAATGGGGTTCTCTCTTTCCCTCCTTGCTGCCTCTATGCCTTTTTATGCACACACCACACACACACACTGGCATACAGCGAGACACTCGAAACACATATACACGCACACGACTGGTTCTTTCGAGAATGGAGCATTACCGAATTCAACAAATTGCGCATAGCAATTGTGCATTTCCTGTCGAGATCGCAGGCCTCAATCGCCGTGCGATTGTGATTCGCCCTTTTGCAGCGCTCGCTGTCAATTTCTGTTGATTTAAATTGCTATTTGCGTGCGAACACGCGACCGTTTCGCGATAGAGCTGGAACACGAATCGATTGATTTGCGATGTCATCGATAAGCCAGATAAGCAGAGGTAGATGTACTCGCTAAAGAACTAGATTTGCGGCGGTTGGTGACTTCGCTACGCGATGGTCACACTACGAATGCAAGATTTCCATATTATCGGCTAATACATCGATAACATCCAAATTGTTTGTTAAATAAAGTTTCAAATTTAACAGTAAAATAAAAATAAATTGATTAAAATAACTAAACAACTAATTTCCGCATTTTTGGATTTGGAGTAGGTCTATGCTATCCCCTTTTACTCAACTGACAGTTCGAATCAACTTCCTTTGTAAAATAATAACTTAATATTATAAAAACAAATTTCTTTATTTATATCCTCTTCCTTATGCGAGTGAAATGTTTTACACTGTTGAACAGTTCCACCGCTATTCTGACGTCGTCATCACTGATTCACCAGTTACTCATGTATTTTGAGAGCAAGAGAGAGTTTTTTGTTGTGTTTTGCTTTCCCATTCGTCGACTGGCAGAGGCTTTGATGAAAGATTGAGGAATTCTAGTGCGGAGCCCAACTGTGCAGCGGAGCGAATTGCTTCCACTAAGGATTTTTCCCAATTCAAAAAATAAATATAGTCACTTTAATTTAATGTCCAACATGAACGAAGCAATGCCTGAAATAAAAAGGCTTTGCCTCGCCACCGAGCAAAGTCATATCGCAGCCAATGCCATGATGCTGACAAAGCTAGATGGTAGGTTTGTAGCATTTTGATGTTTGGTCATCATATCTAACATCACCCACCTATCACCTATCAACAATCCCTCTAAGAACTCAATTCGCAAGTCCTGTCGCAGCGCGCGGAAATCGAAAACTTGACGACGGCGGTTAGGACCCTAACTGCAATCGTTAAGTCGATGAAAACGATTAAGCCGAAGGCGAAGGGAAATCCGGACGATGATTTTCCAATTCTGTATGAGGAGGATCTGATCGAAGTGGATCATAAGATAAGCCAGGACTCCAGGGGAATCTATGTAAGTTTCCCCTTCATTTTGCTTATGCATCTGAATGTTTTTCCCCTGCCTTGTATTTATACCATAAGGCAAATTCCATGCGGAAGTTCTTGCGCCAGGGAAGACTAAGTCGCTCCATAAGATCAATTTTCTCCGAGGATATCTTGTTGAACTACAATGTGGACGGGTGTAAAAATAAGAAAAGACTCAAAGATCACGAACATTTGTTTCGTTCGCTAATGGGTAAGTTCAGTACTCGACGTTCCACTTTTGATGCTCTATTCAATAACTACATACATATGTACCATATACCCATTTCAGACGCCATCGGTAAGGTGGAACCTACACTACCCTCAGAAAAAGTATTATCCAAAGCCATGAGATGTGTTAAGAATTGCGCAGCCAAGAAGAAGGGCAGGGTAGATGATGACCCCCTGTCTTTTTTGAACGTGGAGATGAACGATGGGCAGAAATGATAACTATGCACATACTAGAATGACTTATACAAACTAGAATAAATATAATTCTTTGATGATTTCCGGGCGAATCAACAAGAGTTGAGGAGTCAGAAAGCGTTGTTGATGAATCATTAATTCCTTAATAAGAAGTTTTCACGCAGGGGAAGAGCGAGAGCAAAACAAAAGACGAAAAGTGAGCAAACCGAAAACATCGATTTCTAGCTATGCAATCGATGTTTTGCGCCTTCAAAGTTATATGTCCAACATATATGCCTTGTTTTCTTTATAAGATCATTATTTAATAAGTGATTTTGTGCATTTATTATTACTTATTATCCCTTTTGTTGAAATCAATTTATTTATTTATTTGTTGTCCATCTGCAAAAACTTATTTTGCGATAGTTACGAAGCCATCGATAGTGGCTAGTGGTGGTTAACATCAGCGGTTCGCCATATCCAATTTCATCTTAACCAGGTAAAAGATTGAAACTCCAGTCGCCATTAGGTGACGCGCGGAAACGAAAAGGAAACCATGGCGCTGGCCATCAAAAAGCGCTTAGGCACCTACGTGGAAACGGTGGACGGGGCGCCGGCGGTGAAGAAGCTGCGTCTGCAAACACTGGCCGCCGATGCAAAGGCCGGGAATTTCGGAAAAGTGGGCAATGAAGAGCGCAAGCTAACGGCGCTCAGCCAACTGGACGCCTATGTGGGCAACCTGCCCGCCGGATCGTTGGTCCTGCCCACTGGGGCACCTGTTGCTCTAACGGGCGCCCCGTCCTCCGCTGCCCTCGGAAATCAGCCGGCCGCGGCGACGGGAGCTCCCCAAATGACCGCCGGCAACAGCAGGGAACTGCTGGAGCTCTTGGTCAAGATCACCGATGAGATATCCTACGAGGACGTGGAATCGGGCGAGCTTAACGATGTGGCCAACAAGATCTTTCATCTGTATCAGCTGCAGGAGCGCGATAGCGACACCTCTATCCGGGTGAAGCTGCTCGAACTGCTGTCCGGATTGGGATGCGAGTGTGCCACCGAGCAGGAGGTGACCCTGATCATCGGCTACTTGATCTTCTTGCTGAGGAAGGAAGTGTCCCAGAAGGTGATCGCCCAGGGCATGATGTGCCTGTTCCGAATCGGAGAGCGCAGAAAGCATGTGGTGCCCATCTCGTACAACAAGCAGGTGGCCCATCTGGCCAAGGAGCAGCTACGCTCCGGTTCCACGCATACACAAAAGAACGCCATGCTGGTGATCGGTCGGTTTGCCACCAAAATGGAGGGCGAGCGTCATTACGTATGGAAGTTAGCCTTCTACATTGACTCCCAGGACTCGGGCGTTCGTGCCCAGGCTCTGCACGTGCTGCTGACCCTCGGCGAGCGGGGATCCCTGCTTCCGGCGAAGCTCTACAAGCGTGCCGTCGAGGCCATGAAGGATGACTACGAGTGCGTGCGCAAGGAGGCCTTGCGGCTGGTCTTCATGCTGGGGAACCGGCATCCAGACCACATTATACCCTCGGACCGCCAGCAGGAGGAGCTCCGCATGATAGATGCTGCCTTCAGCAAGGTCTGCGAAGCCCTGTGCGATCTTTCGCTGCAGATACGTGTGCTCGCAGCGGAGCTGCTGGGTGGGATGACCGCCGTCAGCAGGGAGTTTCTGCACCAGACACTAGACAAAAAGCTGATGAGCAATCTGCGCCGGAAGCGGACGGCGCACGAGAGAGGTGCTCGCCTGGTGGCCAGCGGTGAGTGGTCATCGGGTAAACGGTGGGCAGACGATGCGCCGCAAGAGCATCTAGATGCTCGGAGCATCTCGATAATAGCCAGCGGAGCCTGCGGCGCTCTTATCCATGGCCTGGAGGATGAGTTCCTGGAGGTGCGTACTGCGGCCGTGGCATCCATGTGCAAGTTAGCCCTCTCCCGGCCGGATTTTGCGGTGACCAGCCTGGACTTCCTTGTCGACATGTTTAACGACGAGATCGAGGATGTGCGATTGAAGGCCATCTACAGTTTGACGGCCATTGCCAGGCACATAGTGCTGCGCGAGGATCAGCTGGAGATAATGCTTGGTTCGCTTGAGGATTACTCGGTGGACGTGCGCGAGGGACTACATCTCATGCTGGGCGCCTGCCGAGTGTCCACACAAACGTGCCTGCTAATGGTGGTGCAAAAGCTGTTGGATGTGCTGGCCAAGTATCCGCAGGATCGGCACTCCACCTACGCATGCATGCGCAAGATTGGCCAGAAGCATCCGCACTTGGTGATGGCGGTCGCCGTCCACCTGCTTTACGTGCATCCCTTTTTCGAAACGCCCGAACGCGATGTCGAGGATCCAGCGTATCTGTGCGTCCTTATACTCGTCTTTAATGCGGCGGAACACCTGGTGCCCATTATCAGTTTGCTGCCCACGGCCACCCATCGCCATTACGCCTATCTGAGAGACTCGATGCCGCATCTGGTGCCCCAGTTGCCCATCGAGGGTGCGTCTTCGGCGAGTGCCACGCACAGAATTGATTCGGCCGTGCGCCAAGCGGGCAGTTCAGCGGAGTATCTGCAGATGATTCTCAGTCACATCGAGGAGATCTTCACCATGACTGACGAGCGTGTGGAGTTACTCCAGACTGCCCAGTCCAATCTGCAGGTTGGTACGCACCCAGGGCATACAATATTTTATTACCTTACTAAGAGTACTAAAGTTTACTTTGCTTTGTATACTTTTAGCGCCTGGGAGCCATCGATGCGGGCATGTACGGCACCTCTAACTTTCTGGAGACCTTCTTGGCGGCCCAGATCCAGATCGAGCAGATGCAGCGTTGCGCCAGCACGCAAAGGAGCAGGGTTCCCTTGAAGGAATCGCTGGCAGCACTCATCCGGAACTGTCTCAAGCTGCAGCACACGTTCTCCGGCCTCAATTACGGAGATATCTTGCAGGTGAAGCAGCTCCGCTTGAGGGCTTGCGCCCTGCACTTGGTCCTCGTGGTCAGGGATCGCTCGCAAAGTGCCTTGGGCCCGTGCCAGATGCTTTTGCAAACCGCCGGCGATATAAGTGAGTTCATCAAGGCGAATACAAAGGATGAGGAGGAGAAGCCACCGATGGGAGCTTTGCCATTAATAGAGCCCGATGTATCGATGAAAGAGCCGGTCAGTAGAGATGCCCAGCCGGATAGCTTCACACGTCAGTTGCTAAGCAAACTGGATGGCATATCGGATCCCAAGCCGGGCCGCGTTTTTCGTGAGATTCTGCCGCTGGTCCAGCAGGCTCCTCCGCTGGCATTGCCACCCGCCAATGACAAAATACGCCGCTGTGTGGCTAACATCCTCGAGCCGTGCCCGCTGCAATCGCAGGATAATGTGATTAAGGTCACTGCCGGCCTGATAGCTGCCGTTCCCTTTGTGGCGGAAATCGACAATCTGCTGGAGTCCCAAAAGGCGGACATGAGGATCAAGATCAAGTATCCGGACCAGCACATGCACACGGTGGTGCCGAAGCAGAGTGACTTCAAGCCCATTATGACGGAGCAGGGGGAGCACGAGACCAATGTGCGCCTGCGCACCACAATCCTGCTGTCGCACAGCGTTTGGACGGAGTCGTCTCTGGTGGAGATCCAGCTGTGCCTGGCCGTACGTCCCGGCAGCGAACTGGAGCTCTGCAAGCCGGCCAACGTGTTGTTCGCACCCAAACCAGTCAGGCGCGGCATTTAGCCTGACGCCCAGGGAATGGACTAGGTGCTTTCTGGCCAGGAAGCGGGGAGTGAGAAGCTGACAAGGCCACACAGCCGCTGGAGGAGCAGGAGAGCCGAGGGAAGCGGGGCACAGAGCAACTGTAGTTAATACATGTATGTGGTATGTGATTGTCTAAGATAGCAGAGCAGTTGGATAGCAAAGTATTTCGTAAATCCAAAAGCCCCAATTATTTCAGTTGTTTCAATTGTGCATATATCATATGTATGAAAAGATTTCATTTCAAATAAAGTGTACACGACAAATTATTGAGAAAATGTAAATTCAATATAGTTTACTTTGAGGGAAATGAAACACCGAAGACGTTTCCTTTTTATATAGTTTCTATAGTTTATTTCTCATTATAGGTTTTACAGCTTACACGTTTTCTGATCATTTTGTTTTTGGATAACCTTTTCTCCATTTTCTCGTTTTGATTTTTCTCCTGTTTTTTCTGATCTGGTTGTGATTTTTGTAGATGCTGCTTTCATTTATGCTTGTTTGTTGTATACGAATTTGTTAATCTTAAGTTTATATTTGATTCGCTAAAAACTCATTTTAAAAAAGTACTTTGTATTCTTGTGTCTTATCATTTGTTTTTCGTTTTCGTTCTGCATAATATTTAATTTGTTGTTAGGCATTAATAATCGTAATAATCATATGCAAGTAAATTGTTGAAGTTGGATATTACTGAGTGGTTAGATAAGTAGTTCTTGCTGTAAACATTTTCAGTATTCTGTGAAAAATATACATACAATACAAACACATCGATTTCCAATCCACATAAACACACAAAAGTCGATAATTAATCGCGTTTATCGTTAATTGTTTATCGTGTCTTTTTGTTTCTTGCTAGGAATCACAGTATTGTGCAAATTACCTTTATTAGTTTCAAAAATGTTTTGCATGGGATGTTGGTTAGCTTTCGGCATTCTCAGTTTTCAATTCTGAATTCCTCGACTGGCGCTTTTTAGAGTGTGTAAATTCTTATGATTCTGTAAATGTATGAAGATTTAAATGTAAAATAGAACCGGACACAGGCAGTGTAGTTGTTGTTGTTGTGGTTCTATCGCTATCGAAAGCTTTATCTCTGTTATCGAAGACGAGCGATTATTTCGATAACTCCACTGATGAACACTTTAGTTAGTTTTAATTTCATACGACAAAAGAGGAAATATTAGTTTAGTATAATTGGTTTACGTTTGTTTTGTTAGTTTCCACAGTGTTATTGACTATTTTGCGTTTTTATTTTGGGAAATCACAATATCTATGCAAAATCTTATACATCTCTCTATATGTTTTGTATATATATATATATATATATCGCTTTGTGGTGAACATTAGATTTAGATCGTTGTCCTCTATACTGTAAATATATATTATATATCCATATACATATACGTTTGTATAGCAAGTTTTGTTTGTATTGTTTTATGTAGTTATTTTGTCTTGTTGTCCTTGCATGTCCTTTTTCAGATCTAGTTTCCTAGTATCCCCTCCGCTCTACTTCCTCCTCGTATATCTGTCATATCAATCGTTGGGATATGCGTGGTGCAGGTGAATTGTGTTTGTGGATCGTTCGGTTGTCTCCCAATTTTCGGGAAGGCTGGGTATTGGGTATTCGATTGAAAACTATGCAGAAGCCGGGTATTATAGTTCATTATACATACATAGGTAGCTAATTGAAATAACAACAAACAGAATGCAGTGCACAAAATATGAGTCATCAAATTACACGCCTAATCCGCCATTATGTTTTTCGTAATCCGTAAATCTATGCAAAAATTTGACTAAGCAACCCTGTATGTTCGTTAATGACCAAATTATCATAAGCTTTTTTATCCACCTAAGGTATGTACTTAATATACTGCCTAATTCGCAAATAAAACTGAAACTATTCGAATTAACGTTTCAAAAACCTAGCCAGTTATGGGATTGTGTTTTCTGTTTTTGTTTGTATCGCGTGTCGATTAAAGCGCAGTGTGTACACTAAAAAATATATATTACTTTATAAATTTTGATCGAGTTTCTTACAAAGTTCAAAGCGTTTCTTCTCTCAAAGCGGCAGAGAAGACTTTAAAAAATTAAACTTGTATTTTTTATATCATTTGTTTTATTGTGTTTTTATTTCTTTAGACTCTAGTGCCACTTTGTGTGTGTTTTTTAGTTAAAAAAAATTATGAATACATCTTCATTATTACAGATATCTGGATTAAGTGGAAACCAGAGACGCAGCTAGCATCTCGAGGGTTTTAACATTTTCATTAAAATAAGAGGGAGTACTATGTGGAACAATTATAGGTTTTCTCAGCTGCGTATTATAATATAGGTTACAATGGCCGACTCGTGCGAGTGGGCCAACTAATTTGTTAATTAACTAATTTGCTTTACTTAACTCATTAATGGACCAAATGAAAGGATTCTGTTTAAACACTATACGCGAAAAATTGCATTAGACTATGGACGAAAATCGGAACTTATACGATAATACATATATACGAATTGCCGACGAAGGAAAGCTGTAGCCTCAGCTTCTCCTGGATTTCTTGAGTGGCGCTGGAAAATCTGCTCTGCCCTAAAGTCTTTGATTGTGGCGAACAGTAATCAAGGTCAAGTTGAGTATTTGACTTGCTGCTAGTTGAACACATCGATATTTGGTTAGTCATTGGACATTAACGAGCAGTTATGTACTGTGGTGTTGATTGCAAAATAGTCAAGGCATTATCTTTGCAATTCAGTCAACCATTGATCGAAGCTGCCTGATGGTTCTTATTTAAGCCTTGGGTTTTGTACATTTTGAACAGTTCCTAGTTTAGCTAAGACCGGAATCGATATAAACATATATATATATATCTATATCTATCTATCTGTCGCTATTGCCTCCATTCCCTCACTCGACTCCTTGGTTCGCCGGCTCTTTGGTTTACAAACTCGACTCGGTTTCCATGTAGATAATAATCCTTGTGCCACTAATAACTTAAAGGTATTTTAGTAAAAAAAATATTACACAAAACAGGCATTATCATTAATCGTCCTTCTACTCTCCATACATTTGTCAACGTTTACATTCAAATTTTGTGTTTTGGTTTTCTTGTTTTAAGCTTATACAAAAGTTTTTTTCGTTTTCGTTTTTGAAAAGGCGTTTAACTGTTTGCTATAATAATTTTATAAGCCAAAAGAAGCAAAATTATATGCTTTAAATTCATGCGAGTTTTCCTTCACTTTACAAATGTTTCTCGATTTGAGTTTAATGTTTTCTCTTTCTTTTACGTTTTTTTTTTTTTTTTTGCAGACACTTAAAGCAGTTTTCGTTTTACACATAGAATTACACAAAGTTTCTTTTTGTTTGAGAGGCATTTGAATCGATTGGTAGAAAATCAAGAGAACAAGGGGCATGTGAATCCCAGCCACGCCTCTTAGACGTATGTGGCCACTGCTCCGGCTGCAGCTCCTCCATTGCTGGATGAGGCTCCTCCGGCAGCTGCCCCTCCGGCGGACGATGGTCCCGATGCTCCGACTGCTGCCGATCCAGCGGCTCCCGATCCTCCGGCAGTTGGCGCCGGCTGATGCGCCGCAGCGGAATTGTTCAGTGGCTGTGGGCTAACCGGCGGCTGGAGCTTTCCAGGAACATACTGGCCAATGAAGGAGCCATCCTCGGTAAATTGTCCTGGGGTGGTTAGAAAGATACGTACAATATTATTTTTCATTGTCTTTACAATTTTCGATTCATTTTATTAGAACGCCAATTTCCAAATTGCCCCGAAATTAAATGAATATTTTAACCGGTGCAAAATGATATGTAAAGTTGTGTTTTCTTTGTGTAATCATGTTTGTCATTTAGGTTAACCACAACCAACACCAGTGAAATTTTCGTTATCGCGTTGTAATATAATTACAGTTTTGGTTAGTTATTATAATGTGTATATCGGTTATTTAAGGATTGTACAGTGGGCACTGCAGGGAGTTTCGGTAAAACAACAACTACTTGGTCAGGCAAACTACATATACAAATAACTTAGAAGATATAATAAATATACTTGAAAATATACTCAACTTTACCTTGCAAATGCGTCAGTTCAAAATGAAGATAAGCCAAAAAAGGAACTTAAATGAATTCGGTTTATCCAAATATCAATAACAAGCCTACTTTGGCATGCTTTGTTCTCTAATTTAAATTTAAAATATTTCCCAAGTCTACATAATTGTCGTTGTTTATAATTCGGTTTTCTTTATTTTATTTGTTTTCTTTCTAAATTAATATGAGAAAGTACATCAACATATGTAAAAAAATTATATTTTCATATAATTATGATGTTTTCTTCATTCATTCTTTAATATTAAATACACTGAAAAAATACACTTCATTTTTGTTGCTCTTCCCGGAAAACAAACAGGAGGCTATTCTAAAACATTGTTTGAAAGCAAAAAAAAAGTCAAAGTCATTACACAAACTAAAAAAATAAAATAATGAAATAAAAACAAAATACACACAATAGGCTTAAATAAAGTAGTAAACATGTATGCTAAAAGAGAGTTTCATTTCGATTTACGACCAATCTAAAACGGAGATTTGACATTCAAGTGCTGTTGCTTTATAAAAAAATTACTAAATTATAACTTATATACGCTTTATATTTATAAATATATATGCATTACAAGTAAAGAAGGGCGAGAGCGGGACAGAGATATACAGAGTACCGGGGACAGGTAGACATGTGCGCTATATAGAGATTTTATAAGCGAGCTTCATTATTTTTCTCAAACATAGTTTCTTAAATTTCTTAACAAAAAAATGACACGCATCCTTCCGATAACGTCCAGGAAAAGATATGTTATTTCATAATTCGGTTTGATTTGCATGCATTTTCTTTCGATAACTACTTCTTTCGATATGAAGACTTTTATTTTGATAATAGCCTTTTTGCTGCATTCTCGTTGTTGTTGTGGTTGTTGTTGCTGTTGTTCAAGTTGTTTGGCAGTATTGATTTGCATTCGTTTTTTTTTACACATTTTTAGATTTTAATAGTTATATATAAAACCTCTATTTTTATATATACTTTAAATTAGTCGTGGCGTTTGCACTTAGTCGAATAAAATGTAGGCTACTATTTCCATTCATGTTTCTTTTTCTGCTGTGATGGTGTTTGGTCTTGTTGGATTTTTGATTTTTTGGGGTTTAAGGGCTCGGTTTCGATATTCTTTTTGAGTTGCTGTTGCGGTGCGGTGCTTACTAATTAAATCATAGTCCTTTGCGTCCATATTGGCCAATAAAGGATCCATCTTCATTCATGCCTGGATATTGGTTGTCGTTGTCGATTTATTATAGATTGGAATTGTGTTTATTTTACGTGTTTAGGAAAAAGAAAAAACGATACAAATATAATATAAATAAAATATTGTGCAATTAAAAGTAATAAACAATATGGAACGTATAAACAAATAACACATAACAAGGAACACAAAATATGTAAGTTGCTTGAAATGATTTGATGATCGATTTCGACCGATATTTTCGATAGTCCACTGGTGAACAGCAAATGAATGAATATTCTCTTTGATGAGAATGGTTAGTATTAAAAGAGAACAAACAATAAATAAACTGGAAAGGAAGGCAACTTCGTGCAGAAATCAATGAATCAATCGGGGAAAGCAAAAGCGCAGGAACGGCTTTAAAAATGGCAAATGGCTCTCTTCGGTTGCCTGGAAGGAGTTCGGCAGAGCCTTGAACTTCATGCAGCGACTTGTAAGCGGCAGAAAAGAGAGGGAGCACGACACTTACAGCAGTAGTCAAATGTATAGCAGGGGTCAATATTTTTGGGGCACCATAATTATAAATGTATACAAATTATAATCTTTACTTCGTATTAGTATTTGTTCATGATAATATTTTTGTGTATGCTATCAAAGTGGCCACCACTGTATTTGGCACTAAGCTCTCTTTGAAGCGCAAATGAGCCGCAAGGGAAACAGGACAGGCAGCAGTACGAATGAAGAGAGCGAAAGAGAGACAGCTACCTGGCTGATTGGATAACAACAACAACTTTGAGTAGGAGAGCGAAAGGATCGCTCCCCCTTTTCACCACACATTCTCTTAGGCCTTGTGCTGCTCAGCATCCGCCACGCACAGTTCGTAGGAGGGAGGGGCGGCAGTGGGGTTGGTGGTGGAAGAGGGTGAGGCCGGGGAGAGCAATGTTGGTGGTTGTTGTTGTTGCTGCTGCTGTCGTTGTTGTTGTTGGGTGGATGTTGACGTTGGCAGCGACGTCGCCTTGCTGCGTGCTGCGGCAGCTGCGCGAGCAGCGGCTGTGGCCACAGCTGATCATCATAATCCAATGTTCATTTTCATATCCCCAAGCACAATCGTCATCAATGCGAAATTAAACCAAAAACAAATGTGGCAATGGAAATCAAGAGAGTGAAAAAACAACCAAAGAGACACAACAAAAATGTAATGAGGAGTTGGAGGTGGGGTGGTGTGCTAGATGTAACTCTAGAACGATAACCTTATCAAGTACTTTCATAGCGGTAATGCAGCGTTTTAACATATTAGTGTCGTAAAACATGCGTCTAATAATACCTATATGTTCTAAGTTAAGAAAACAAAAATCGATAAAAATTCTTTTAGATCTTAAGTGATATCTACTCTTGCTAAAAATAAAATCAAAAACTTTCGAACGCAGCATTACCGCTTACAAGGATAGTAGAAAACTCTATATGAGAAGCACTGGACACACTCGAATGATATATTCGTAAATGATGTAATATTTGATACATGACATGTAGAAAGGACTCTAACCTGTGTCGCCATCACCGTATTCGGCCATCGAATCGGTATCGCTTTCCACGCCGGGTTTGTTCGCTGAACTCACGGATTGGCGACCAGCGCTCTTGTTATCCAACCTATAATATTTCGATTTGTTATGCGATTTGCCATCGAATCAGACTATAATTTTGGACTTACGGTTGCGAGTACTCGTGGAAGCCACCCTCTTCGGGGTAATCCCGCCGACCGTTGGCCAGCTCCCGATCGTGGACATCGTACTTTCCGCCCCGATTGCGTCGGATAATGCAAATGATGATGAAGAGGATGATGATGAAGGCCAGGGCCAGCATCATGCCAATGAACCATCCGGCATTGGCCACCGTCTCGTTGGCCACCATTATTGGTCCCTCTACGGTGTTCGTGTCGATCTCCTGCGTGGCACTCTCCGTGTTGAAGTGGCCATCCACGGAGACCACGCGGAACTCGTAGGCGGTCTCCGGATCCAAGCCGCCGACCACCTGGTAGTCGGAGTTCTTTTCCTCATTTTCGCGTATCCATTGGGTTTCGCCCTTGATCCTGGAGACGGAAATAGATTTAATTATCACTTGCTGTCATTGGAATATATGTGTATTTCAATCTTACCTGTGCATCGTGAAGAAGTGAGTGCCCGGATGACCCTCGGTACTTGGCTGCCAGTTGATGCGGAACTTGGCTAGTCCATTATCGGATGGCAGTTGCTCCCAGGAAAAAGAGGGTGTGGCAGGGGCCACATTGACGGCATCCTTGAGCGTGGTCTTCTCGATATAGTGTCTAAAGAAAGCAGGACATACAATTAGTTACAGACATATTTACATATTGAATAAATGTACTTACTCAGATCCCTCGCCCATTTTCGTGGTGGCCGTGATGGAGATGCGGTACTTGGAGTTGGGCTTCAGGCCGGCCATCTTCATGCGTGTGACCCTGGGATCGGTGATGTGGGGATCGTATTCGCGTCGCTCGCCCACATAGCTCTCCTTAACCTCCTCGTAGTAGATCTTGTAGCCAGTGAGCTTGCCATTGGGATACAGCGGCTTCTTCCACTGGAGCATGAAGGCCGAGGAGCCCAGGGGATAGGCATCCAATCCCTGAACCGGCGATGGCACACCCTCGGGAGTATCGAAATCGATGACGGCACTGGGTGGGCCATTGAAACGTCCATTGTAGGCCAAAATGCGGGCAAAGTTCTTCGAGTCGGGCTTGAACTGGGTGACCAGAGCGTTGTGGGTATCACCTTTCACATGGATCTCTCGCAGACCCTCCTCGCCCTCGTTCTCCGTCCACGTTTGGATCTTGTAGCCCTTGAAGTGTCCCCGCACCGATTCCTCACTTACCGGCGTCCATGCCATATAGCCACTGGTCGAGGATGTGATCTGCCTCATCGTGAAGTTGGTGGGAGCGTCCAGGGGACGATCTTCGCCAGAGTAGCCAACCACCTCCTCGGCTGCCACATTGGACTCACCCCTATCGTTGATGGCCACCACCTTGATCAGGTATTTGACGAACGTCGGCTGATCGGCAATCACAATGTTATTCTGTCGCCAGTCGAATATGTTATTGTTTTCCCACGCAGCAGCAGGGATATCGCGTTTCCAGCTCACATAATAGTGGAAATTGGGGGCATTGTGCTCGATCTCTGGCATGGGAGTCCAGGAGATGACCAGGTTGTTGGGCTCAGTACCCTGGCCAACGACATTATCGGGATTCTTGAATGGCACATCCGGCTGGGTGGTGCAACTATCGCTGTGCGCCGACGGCGGCGAGGCTCCGATCTTGTTGAAGGCAATCACACGGAACGTGTAGTTCGCCCACGGTGACATCTGGACCACAAAGGAGGAGTCCGTGTTGGGCACCTTCTCATAGGCGGCATCCCAGGAGGCGGGCGTGAACGATGTATTGAACTGGATGGTATAGTGCAGGATGGGCGAACGATTGTCTCCCTGTTGCTCCCAGTGGATCTCGGCCTTGTCGGCCTGGCAGGTGATGCCCGTCAGTTTTGGGGCATTCGGCACATCCTGGACGATCAAATTCGCCCTGGCCGTGGCCTCATCCAATCGCGTCCTGGCCACGCACGTATACTCGCCAGAATCTAGCTCCATGGTCTTGGCAATCGTCAGGGAATTATCGTTGGCCTTCACGAATCTCGGCTGGGTCTCAAAGTCAATGGACTGGCCATCCTTCCACCAATCGATCTCAATCTCCAGCGTATCGTCGTGGGCCTCGTTACAGCGGAACGTGGCCGATTGTCCGGCGGCCACCTCGTAGTTCTGCGGCTCTTGGGTGATTCTGGTGTGTTCCTTGACCACCAGCGAGCCATCGGCTTGAATTTCGCCAAACTTATTCTGCGCATAGCACGTATATTTGCCGGCATCCGAGAATGTCACATCTTGGATCTCCAGATCGCCGTTCGCCTGGACATTGTAGCGACCTCCGGTCAGCCAATTGCTGGACCTCAGCCACTTAACCAGCGGCTTGGGGGATCCATTTACCCTGCACTTAATGGTCACATTCCGTCCATCCACAGTGGACACAGCAGCTGGAGCTTCAGCGATCGTTGGCGGCTCAGCCTGGACATTTAGGTAGACATCCTTATATACGTAACCCAGCGAATTGGTGGCGTTGCAACCGTAGTTACCAGTATCGCCCTTAACCAGATTGATGATGCGGATTGTGTTGTCCGTAACCGTTCGCCTGGGATTCGGAGTGCTCTGCTCAATGGGCTTACCATTGTGAATCCAACTGATCTTGGGCTCTGGTACACCAGCAGCGCGACACTCGAAGACCACTTCTTCGTCCTCGGCGGCGGTGGCGATTTCAGGTTCTTTGGTAAAGTACGGCACGGAGTTGACATTCAGGATGATGGAGAAGGACTGGGCATTGCCCACACCGTTGGATACGTCGCAGGTGTATGTGCCGGCATCATCGAAGTTTGTCTGCCGAATCACCAGTGATTTGCCATAGTGGCCTTGCGTTATTCGATCGCTCCACTGTATCCGCTGGCCATCCTTGCTCCACACGGTCTGCGGCAGCGGGGTTCCGCCGTAGATGCAAAACAGTTCCATTCGCTTGCCACGCAGCGCCAAGGATTGGCGACGGGACACATACTGACGCACGGGCGGATGCTTGTTCTGCGAGGCACTAACACCCATCTGCTTGACATCCAGGAGCACCTTATTGCCGATCTTGTACTCAGAGCGGAACACCGAGGTGGCCGAGCAGGCGTAGTAGAAATCGGAGCTGGCATCCTCACGTGTAACATTCGAGAACCAGAGATTGCCCTCGGGATCGAGGGTCATGCGAGAGTTGTTGATCGACTTGATGCTGCCATCAATGGACTCCTGGATCATCCAGTTGACCGTGGGACTGGGGAAGCCATCGGGTGCGGCACACTTCAGCATGAAGGGCTCACCCTCCACGGCCTCCAGAGTCTTGGCCGCCTCATCCTTGAAGGCGTTCAGCTCAGCCTTTCGCACATAAACCGAGTTCGAGGTGGCCGTTCCGAATTCGTTGGACGCGAAGCACTGGTAGTGGCCGCGATCCTCGTCCTTGGGAATGGTGATCACCAGGGTTCCACGACCTGGCTGTCGCAGCATGCGGTTGTCGTACGCCTGCCAGTCGAACTTCTTGCCGTTCTTGATCCAACTATATCTGTGGGTTTAAAAGAAACGGTGGGGTGTAAGTATATACTTATTTTTGAACAGTAAGGTGCCTTAACTTGTGGAAATAGTTGCCCAAAACAGCTAGAGCACTAACACATAATTATAATATACCTATAGAGTGGAATATAGTAGTCACTGCTACCATACCCGTTTAATGGTAATTAATGCAAAGATAATTGCATTTTATTTGTTATATATCTTGTTGCCTCAGTTCTTTCAGCACTGGCCAGTTACACTATCTAATCCCTATAATTGTTCATTTCGACATGAATTTGGCCGTAGTTTTCCGCATTTCCTCACTTGACAATCGACTCATTAAGATCGTGACTCTCTAACAAGTTAATTTCCACATTTAATTTGGCTTAATCAACATTTGTCCAGGCGGCGAGCTAAGATGAAAATTAAGACATTTTTTATGCACAAATTATGGCAACTTGCTTAATTTCCAATTGCGAAAATGTTGATTGAAGTGTGCGTGGGGATGACGAGGGGTTTTTTTTTTCTTGTTTCTGGTCTCAAGTAATTGCAATTAAGCGGCAAAAAGGAAGTCAATGAGTTGAGCCCAGTTTTTGCTCGTATTATTTGTGTATCATCTTGTATCTTTCTTTTTTCGTTTGCGGATCTTCTTGTAACTGTAACTGTGCAAATTAGAGATATAGATACAGTACTAACTATACTGTCTTAGGGGAATTACAATTGGCGGAAAATAAATAGCACTTGGGCCTTTTAATCTTGATCTAAATAATCCAAACCTTGTGGAAAACCCATTTGTAATTAATAGCTTAACGCTTATAGAAACTTTATATGAATGTAAAGTTGCCTTGCTTCTAATTGAAAAACATAAAACTTTTTAGTCTTGTTTTATCCCACTATTATTTTCACCGCAATTGTAAATAGTTGTAGACTTTATATATATGTATATGAAACTGAAAAGCTCGAGTCAATTATGTGAACGAGCCGCGCTGCTTGAGCTTGTTAAGCATTTTTTTTTATTTATATCTTTTATTTCCTTTTTTGTTTGCTTTTTTTGTTTGTCATACTTGAGTTGGCTTTTTTCAGCTCTTTTCATCTGGGATCTTTTTGGGCTCGGTCTTGACGGCGGGTCATGCAATAGGTCAATCATTTGAATTGTTTTTAAGTGTTGTAAGTTGAACTGTGAAGAGAACTCTTGGGCATTTGGAGTGGCGGGGGGGATCGGTCAGTTTGTTGAACTGCAGTCATCCAAGTGACTCAACTGATTTCATGGGTTGTGCTGGTATGCAGATTAAAAAAGTTACAACTTAATTGGTGTCGTACTGCAATTAGATATTCTAGTTCTATAGTTCTAGTGCTATATTTTGTAATTCACTTACTGCTGAGTATATCATTTTAAAATGTTAATTGAATTTAGACCCAAGTGTTAATTTGTGTCAATGAAAAGTGCATTTGCCGCCGTGGGTCAAAAAGTCAACCAGTGAGACAGCGAAATACCAGGATATTGCCACCAGGCCACGTGGATCAAAGTAAAAACTTAACCCCCTGGTGGTAAAAACAGCCTGAAAACCGTTGGCAATGACACCCTAAGCGAAGTTCACCCCTATAAACTGCGAGCACTAAACCAAACTATGCACCCAAACAAGCTGGTCGGCGGGTCAATAAATTGTTGGCCAAGTGGCGGGACAGGCAGCAAAGGATATCCCCAGGATGCCAGGATGGTGGAAGAAGGGCAGTCAAGCGGTAAAGCACGACGTCTGTCGCCATCGCTCGACACCATCAAAACTTTGGCTATACCGTTCGTTCTGCCAGCGAGGCGGTCACCTGAAACGGTTGCCAAAGACGACAGCTAAATGGCCAGACAACAGCTGCTTGGCCACGCCCCCTCAACGCCCACACAGTCACGCCTACCCCGGCAGGAATTCGCCCATTTGCAAGTTGAACGATTTGTACATTTATTCTAATGACTGCTTTTCTAGAGGGTATCATACACCGAAGAGGGCGTGCTCAATACTTGCAAAACTGCGAGCCAAGTAAAGGAGCATAACGCTGAAACACAAAGTAAAACAACCTTTAAATACTTTTAATGTCTAAAAATTACCATAAACCCAGGGTATTTGGAGCTGCTTTATGTGCTGTGTGTCTGCCTTTTGACTTGGCATTTTTTAAGCAGCTGCTGGTAAGTAGAGAGCTCCTTCGTGTTACTTCTTTTCCTAGCTCGACACCACTTAACCCCAAAGTGCACTGCTAGTTTTCGGGTTGACTTGGCTTCACTTAACTTGCCCGCCCCCTTTTCGCCAGTGCAAACCAACGAACTCAACCCCTCGAGCAGATTTTCCTTTAGCTGGCTTTGCATTTGCCTTTGCCAGCCTTTCTAGCGATAGAAATCTGTACGGAAAATGCGCCAAGAAGTGCCAGGATATGGCTGCTGATGACTCATCAGCCCGGCTAAAACACACAAACAAACACACAGACACACACACAAGCTGCTTTGCATAAATGTGGATGAGGGTGTGTGTGAGTTGTGGGGGTTTGGCGGTTGAGCTCCATTTGTGCATTGCTTTTTGGGGTTGCAAAATAACAAAATGCCGTAGCATACTTTTTTGCGCGCTCACTGACAAAAAAGGGAAGTGGACACAGTAAGGGCAGATATACACACATAACCCAGTTATATACGTACATAAGCCTAGATACATTTCCAAGCAGACATACAAATACAAGCATTTAACTAGGAACTTGGGAATAAAAAGCGATAAATAACTATGTTTGACTATGTAAAATAAATATGTATATAATTTAAAATAAATCCCATCTCTTTGGGCGCTTGCATGCCCTAAGCCCTATTATGGTGACCGCAATTGTGGCTCTGCCATGGCTAGAAGTAAAAGCAAAGGAGCCAGGCCAAAACCGCTTTTAGCCGAAGGGAAATTTGCTCTCAGAGAGGGGAAACCAGTGGCAAAGGGGAGCAGGGAGGTGGAAAAGTGGTGAGACGGCGAGACAGTGGACAGAGTGGCGGGGGGTAGGGGTCTCAGACCAAAGTTAAACAAAAGCAGCAAAATGTGTATTAGGTCTAAGAAAGCCGCATCCTGCACTCAGCCGCAAATAATTATACCCTGAGCAACAGGTGGAAGTGGAGGCCTTTTTTATTAGCCATCGAAAAGTATTGATCTAACAATATAATAAGTATTGATCTCACACTGGAAATATTTTATTAGGATATCAATTTCTTGCTTAATACGCACTTTTTGGTATATATCATTTGTATTTGATATTTGCAGTAATACTACAATTACAATTAGATGTTTACACCTACATACAACTGCTGACTTTATTTTAATTTATACAATTTTATGACTCTCCCTAGAACATTTAAACTAATTAGCTCGTTTCTTGCATTTCATTACCCAAATTAGTCACGTTTTCCACATTCCCGTGAGACTTAAGGGTACATTGCCACTTGGCTCGGACTTCTTTCCGAATTAATTCCGTGAATTTTGTCGGCGTCCAAATGGCAAAAAACCTTTAAATGGCCTGCGGGTCTATTTGCTGTATTTTATTTTTTAGAGGGTGTGGAAATCGAGAAACTGCCGACGAGGGTTGGCCAACAGTCCATTTTGAGCTTGGGCTGCTGGAAAACAGCAGAAAGCTTTTTCGACTAATACCAAATCGGGAAATCCAGCTGAAGAGGAAATGGAATTGAAATTCGCAAGAAACTATACGTGTTTGCCTCATCTTCGTCAGTTTTGTTGACATTTTGTGCATGTGAAACGAGCAATGACACCAAAAAGCACTACAGTGGAACTTCAACGACTTGAACAAACAACTCTGCTTGTTATGAATTACTTTCAAAGGAAACTGACATATTGTGGAGCATTGCCTCTATTTCGTAATAAAAAAGGCGGGACACCGGACAGCGGAAGTGGGGAAAGCGGAAGCGTCTCCAAGGTATCAACATACTATAACAACAATACGAAACACGAAAATAGGACATTGGACAGCCCGAATGCAGAGGGAGAAAAAGCGCTCATTAATGGCCGACAAACATGCAAACAACAATGTTTTTTATAGTTCAATGGAAGGCCCGAAAAAGGAGCAGCAGGAAAATGCAGAAGGGAAAGGGGGGCCGCTGGAGCAGGTGACACCCGACCTGTGTGACCTGTGACCCCTGGCATGGCAACAGTTGCTGGATGGCCCCAAAAGTGCGAGCGAGTACGAATATTAGGTGTGACAACAACCCGAGGGAGCACAAAACAAAAGGAAAGAAGAAAACAAATGGTAACACTACTAACTGGAAAATCTCATGGGTCCTGTCCCCACCCTCACCTGTCCAGCTTAATAAAGTTAACTAAATCATTCCGCCTTTGTGTGGCAAATTGGGTAATTCCACGAAAAAATTGTATACACAACTAATTTGGCATGTTTTCGTAAGTAAGCAGGCTAAGTAGAACAGTCATACCCATTATGGGTTCAAAAAACGCGAATTCTTTAGCATCATTTTGGCACTTCTCTTGTAATACTGCTGCCGAAAACAAACTTAAGTAGAGCATACAAATAAGTTTCATACATTTTGCAATCTTGTAAGCGCAAACTTTTCGTGCTTTTCTTGTGCTTTCTGATCGGGCCGAGTAAAACAACATAAGAAACAATTGACATTGTCGTGCCCTTCTGTTGGTTGCCCAATCTGTTCGTCCATCTGACGAAAATGACATCAAGTGAAATAAAGTAAAATTACAACAGACACGCAGTAGCATTGAAGATGAATGTTGGAGCATTTGGGGAACCGTCTGAATCACCGGAACATTTGGGCAATCATCAAGTCTCCGACTCCAAGTCGGACGAAATTAGCTTGTGGCGATCGGTAGTAATTTTCAATTTCAATTCTGTTTTCTTTCATCGAGGTTGCTCAAGTTCAAGTGGTCTCCCCATATATACCTATGTGCATATATATGGAAATGGCTCCCTCGCATTTATCCAATGGCTTTTGATTTGACTCATCATATCAACGATGTCAAATGT